CCTGCTCCCTTTATCACTGCCTCTTATCAGTCATGCTCTCTTTCTCACCTCTCACTGTTCATTTCCTCCCTCGGAGGTTAACATTTATTCTCCCTCCACGTCTTCCCGTCAGACTTTATCAGTCTCTCCTTTTTCTCCTTCCCCAGCCTTCCCCATTTTTCACTTCTGCTCTGTCATCTTCATCCTCTCCGTTCGGATTTGAAATTCTCTTGATGTTTGCTCGGTCACGCGCACGTTAAACGTTTCAGTCAGATCTGCGGAGCTAATGTGACTCTTCAGATGTTGGCCATGAAGTATCAGGCTAAGAAAAAGGGAACTTTGTGTACATAGTCTTTGTTAAGAGATGATGAAGAGTTGGAGTTCATTTTTAATGCTGGCTTACCTCTGCACTGTCTCTGCACACAACAGCCCTGGGGTAATTTGATCAAACGACTCTGTCGGTGTTCGCGTAGGAGGAATTTTTGTATTTGTGACAACCTGACCAGAACCTGACTAGAAGATACCAAGATCAAAGGTGTCCACACTTTTTTGGCCTGGTAGCTACTAGTCAAATGACCTGGTACTGGTTAAATACATGTAGCTGTAGATACACTGGTATTTTGGGTACTGTCCTTTATAGGAATTTGCTCCCCCTAAGGTCCACTGAGGTAATTAGGACCTTCACAAAGTTCAACAAAAGGTAGCGATGTTCTCAAAATGTTCTAGAAGTTCGTTTGAATTTGTTCTCGACACATAAAAATATGGACAGTCTGCTCCACATGTAGGTCGCTCTGCACCGGTTAGCTTTGAAGAATCGTTCCGGATAAATAAAGCGTCTGCTACCAGCGATAAATAAAAGTTAGAATTCCATGGTTATTATTTTTCTAAGGATCTGACTGGCAGCAATGGGGCTCGGATGATTGGTTACTGTTCTACAGGCTGTCGTTTATCGTTTGCAATTGATGACTGTTGGACATTAATTTAAATTTCTTTTTAATTGACCCCTGGTTAAAACCCCTCTCCTCTTTCTCTTTTTTGTTTTTATGAATTATTAACTCTTGGCCTCCACATGCCCCCCCTCCCCCCCCTTGTTTTGGCTCTTCGCCTGCAGAGCTCGTCCAGGACTTTGACAAACAGGAAGAAATACTCTCCACCCGCAGCAGCGGAGCCACGCTTCCACCGACTCTTCCACCTTAGGACAGGCCACATAAATTCTCACTATTTAGCCGAAACCCCTTGTCACAAGGACCGGAGGTAAATATCAATAAACTCAAACACCATTACACCTGGAAGGAAATATTATACTCTGTGTTGTTAGAGGATGTTGCGCTGCTTTGGAGTGAACAGTGTGTCAATATAGAGGAGGAATAATTCAAGGAGGGCAAAAAAAAAAGTGTATGGTAATGTGAATACTAAAGCCAAGGCACGTTTCATTTCAAACGTGGACATTGACTTAATTTAAATGGAAATTATCTACAGCCAATTATTATTATTCAGATACAACATCTGAGTCTCTACATACAGTCAAATGTTTGGGGAGTTTGTTCCCCAGATTACGAGCACAGAAACTGCCCGCCGGCTTCCCTCTGCTGGGCTCTGACCCTGGAAACACAGAGTTAATCTGTCCCTGATGAGCTGAAGGTCGTGGTGCTGCGGACCCTAATGTACCTCTAACAAGTACTTAGGCTACTCAGTGGCATGTAGACCAGTGACTATGCCTCAAAAGCAAACAGTCAGTGGGCTCATTTGAAAAACAAAAACAAAAACAAAAAGTGTTTGGCATGTTTTTTATGTTGTGAAATGAAACGCTAACAAGCTAACCGAGGTGTGTGTTTGTTAAATTCCTGATTTCAATAACATTTCTGTTGTGTTAGGTTTAATTTAGTAACCAATTTAGTAATAGAGCATTAAAAAATCATTTAGAAACAAATTGAAAGTGTTTCTTCTGTTATTTCTTCCGTTATTTTTGTAGCTGTTTAGCTATTAGCTCATTAGCTTCTGGCCTCAGTAGACGAGCCTGTTAACGATATTCTGTTATTTTGAGTGAGAGGACATGGTCATAAATGAACAAAAATAACAAATTCCTTGCCTTGTCAAAATAAATATTAATAAATAAATAATGTGGCATTTTGGCCCAGAGGCAATGTCTCTGTCATTGGTGTGGAACCCCAGGGTTCACCTCCTTCAGGGGGGTTGGTACGGTGCAGTGTGATTTGGGTGGCGACTGCTGCCCCCGCGACCCGGTAACGGATAAGCGGATGAAAATGGATGGATGGATGGATAAATAAATAATAATAAATATACAAAATATAAATTATAAATATATTAGGCCATAAAAATGTAAGCTTTAATTCCAGTGCCCCTAGAGTTTGGAGGACTTGACTAAATAAAGACTATGCAAATGATTCATGTTTACACTGAGATATAGCGACGGCAGGAATCTTAGTCCATTTGACTCACAGGCCTGCAGCCTTCACAGGGCATTCATGACCACACACACACACACGACCCCCACACACACACTTGACCCGGTTCACTCAGTTGAAATGGTATCCTCTGGATGTTTGAGTGACATATCACTATATTCACATCTATGCCAGACGGAAGGTGTTCACTTCAACCTCCTCCGGTCATGTACGTGGTAGACTTGTGTAACCACGGAGACAGCAGACAAGCAGCCCACAGTTTCACTGCCACCAGAAGGGTTCAAACGAGTGCACAGTCACGGCTGTTTATCTGTGTGTTTCATGGAATATTTACGGACATTCTCCTCTTTTTTTGTTTGTGAAAATGTCTGAGAGAAAAGACAAAGACAACATATTGGGTCTGAGTGTAAGAGTGTGTGGTTCCGTGTGCGGCTTGTTTGTGCGCTAGAGTGTAAGTGTACTTCAGGGTGTTGTGAAAAAAAAATGGGGACATAAATTGGATTTTTTTTTTTTAATGTAGGGCACTTTCTTCTCCGAGTGGACTTCTCGGTCACAGGCTTTCTGACAAAGGGATGGTAAGTGTTTTAGTTTTTATCAAACGGTCGCTGTCTCAGGTACTGAACGCAGCCTCGAACACGATGTGCATGCTAACTGTACATCATATCTCTGCTGCGAATGAGGGCATAAATAATCCAACAGATTTACAGGAAATCACCTGACAAAAGGTTCATCGTGTTGATGTTGTTTTTCCAGCATGCTCCACCGTTTGTTTAGTTTTGACCTTTTGTTGATAGAATTCTAAATAAACCACTAATCCACACAAAGGTTTGTTTAAGAAATCTGCTGTCTTTTAGATTAGCATAATTAAACCTGCTGGTACATGTGTGTTACACATGTACACATGTTGTTTATTAAACCTGCTGGTACATGTGTGTTACTTCAACAAATGACAAGAGAGATATCAACAACAAAAATACACCTACTATTTTCCCCCTTTTTAGAGCCTTTGTATACAGTATATGTTTATATTTATATATATCTATATATATATTTATATATATTTTTGTAACATTGACAGATTATCTTTTAATGAAGAAAGTAAAGGGATATGACTGAAGTCAATTAGTAAAACTGAAATACTGTGTCTCACTGCGGCCCAGTATCAAATGACCTACGGACCGGCACCAGTCCCCGAACCAGGGGTTGGGGACCCCTATATATAAATATATATTTATATATATCAAACAATATTGTTGTGCCTTGTGTATCGTCTTGTTCCTCCTTTGTGCACCCTTAAGCCGCTTAAGAGCTTAGCTACAGCTGATAAAGGTCCGTGTTTATGTTTGGGCCATATAAAGTTCATTGTAAAAAAAAAAAAAGAAAAAAAAAGCTTTACATCTGAGGTTAATATAGTGCACTCAAACAGGACGGACGAGGCTACAGTCAGAACGTGTGTTTAGAATGCTTAAATTACTAACGCCTTTAGAGCTTCTCAGTTAGCATCATGGATCATGAATTACCTCCGACTGTCATCGTTCGCTACAGTATGTGATTTTACAGATCTAATTGAATTGGCCTTCATTTACAAATGGACCAGCTGAGACCCATGATGGGTTTATAAGTAGGTGTAACACAAGGCATCCAGTCTACTGGAATGAATGTGAAATATTATTGATACCTGAAGGGCAGAGTAAGGGCACTGGGTTACAGGAGCGAGGTAATGAAATCGGGGCAGTCGCCATGGACCAGAGTTGCTGGACATCCAACTATGGGTTTTCTGTATGAACGCTACATGGTAGAAAATGGATGGATGGAGGTGTCTGTGTATATCGTGCTGACACGTGACGCAACTTTTTTTTTTATTTATTCAACTTATCTTCAGAGTGACCTTCAACTCAAGGACAAGTGAAGTGAAAACATTTGGCTGTCGATGTTTCGCCCGACTGATCTTTAGCTGTTAGGAACGATGAAAGGAATTGTTCTTTCTAAATGCTTTTTCTTTGTTTGTATGACCGGTCGGGGAACTTCTTCTGCGGCTATTATTTACAAAGGTGACCCCTCCGTCTGTGCACAGGTGAGGTGAGTGCACTGGCGGCATACAGATATTTTATATTGTATAAATCCAATCTTCCAACATCCTCAAAACATTGACTTTGGTGACGGGTCGAGACATTTCCCGGTGGATTATTTTACAAAAAACACTCATGTCTGAGCATTCAAAATATTGATCAGTGGTTAAATTGGTTGTGTTGACATTTATTCTTAGAAAACGACACCCCGATTCTAAAATCAGAGTCAGAGATGGCAGGATTTTTATATTTGGTAGTGACCACGGTGACCTGTGACCAAACTGATCAGAGATCAAGTTAAGGACATGGTGATGGATGGATGGACAGATCGATGGATGAGGTTTGTGAAGTTTGGCTGAACTAAACGTTGCTTTTGGAAGTCGTTCAGAACCTGAAACGTTTGTGTTTTAAAAAGGGGAATTATTTTACACTCTTTTCAGATTATTGTTGAGTGTGTAGAGCTCTGCAGAAGAGCCCACTTACATCTACTTGTTTTTTTTCCCTCTGCTACTTCCAGACCACTCACCTTGAAATTTGAAGCCCTCTATCTGCACCCAGAGACACAGGTCCTCCGTGTCACAGTCACACTTCCACGGGTTACCACTGAGGCCAAGGGAGCGCAGAGCAGGCAGCGCGATGAGGCCGCTGATGTTCAGGGTCGTCAGGTTGTTTCGACTCACGTCGAGCACCTGCAGCGCCACGTTCTCCGAAAAGGCATCCGAGTGGATCTCGCCAAGACCGGGGTTGTCCGTCAGCCTGAGCATCACCAGGGACGCCAGAGGTCCGAAAGTCCGGTCCTCGATCTGCAGCAGGGTGTTAAAAGACAAGTCCAAGTAGGCAAGTTTGCGCAAGTTCCCGAATGTGGACTCTGAGATCTCAGTCAGAGAGTTGTTGCTGCAGTCCAGATACACCAGATCAGACAGGTAGTTGAGCTGCAGCGGCGGCAGGTCTCCAATGCGGTTGTTGGAGATGATGAGCTGCCGGGTGGCCAGCGGCAGATCATTGGGAAACCGAGTGAGCTCCTGTCCGGCGCACTGGACCACGAGCTGGTCGTCGCACACGCATCCGTGCGGACAGCCGGCCGTGAGCGCCGCCGACCGCGCAC